CTTTTGAGCAATTTAGAATTCAGAATCAGCTATTTTTTTTTTTTATTTCGGTCCCAAAAACTTTTCATTATTCAGAACCCCTCAAACAATAGCTGATTCTGAATAATTTCCCGAAAACTTTTCATTAATCCGAACCCCTCCATTAAATCGGGTGCCACATTAGCCTCCTTGTTGTTGCTGAGGGACATTTCCAGTAGTATAGTTCTGGGATGAAGCACCTAGTCCAAACCCACGGCCAGCCAAATTCTTACCAATTCGGCGTAAGCCACCCATGTTCAAACTGAAGTTTGGTGGTTCGAAGCCAGCGGTGCCCTAGCCAAGTTTGGCGCGTGTAGCATTCTACTGGTGCTTAGGGGAGAGTGGGGGAGTGGATCCCCATACTCATCCCCATGGCATCCTCTGTAACAATCCTTTTATGCACCCCCCCCCTCCACGCTGTCTTAATTGCCAGTACAGCATGTGCCTGAGGGACAAAAACCCTGAAGGTCGCCCGTTTCAAACCTTGAATTACTCCACAAAGGAACAAGCCTCAGCCAAGGATTTGCTACATAATCATCAGCGTTTTTACTTTGTTGAACGTGGTGACCGGTCGCTTGGTCAGCGCTTGACTGTAGCTATGCCGGCTAAGGTTTAGGTAGAGTTGACGATTGAGTATTTCGGCTGCAATTTCACAATCCATCGGAAATCATCCATATAAGTATTCGGTGTTGTCTTGTTTATGACAGGCCGTGACGAGGATCCCCAAGCCATACACCCCACAACCCTCACCCCTAAACTAAATTCTGAATGCACCTGAAGATGATATGGGTGTCTGGCTCATGGGGTCGCCACATTTGGGGCATACTCGCTGAAGCCATTCTGTGGCTCAGCATGTCATCATGCCGACTGTAGAGCTTGCTCAATGGTCTAGTCGGTGTGATAGATAAAGGTGTCATCAATGACATCGGCACACTCATCTTCCCGCCAGTGTCTCCGGTCAGAGGAACTCTTGCTTGAAAAGTGACACTTTCGAAATGTAGCAACACCTGCAAGCTATTCCTTGGCCCAGGGGTGTTCGTGAACACGGCCATCGAACGCGCAAGTGCTGATAAGGATATTGCTGCTCTGAAGGCTTTTCAGAAGCGGAAGGAGCACGGTTTAGGGGCTTAACGGCTGCGATGGGGTCTGGGGTCTGGGGTCTAGGTGTCAGCAGCAGGGTTTAGGTCCAGGGCCAGCTGTGGGGTTCCAGTTGTAGCAGAAGGTGCCCTTAGCCATCCATCTTACACTCCGAATCCTAGAACCTACACCCTATAACGTACTGCTTTAGATCTGTGGTTCTCGACGCACACATGTGCTACGCCCCGCCCTCCCCACACCAAGCCGGTACGATCCGTATACACTCTATACATCGCCACTTAGAACGCATGTTTTCCCCAAAGCTCAAACCGCAAGTCCCAAACCCTAAATCCTAGACCCCCAAACCCTAAACCTCCCAACCCTCAACTCTTGACTCCCAGCCCTACACCCTATGCGAAGATAGGAGCAGATCCGTGTCTTGGAGAATGCCTTCGAGACGCTGGACCATGGCCACACCAACAAACTCCAGCTTCAGGCCATGAGTGTTTGATGCTTTCGGGGTTTAGGACGGTTTAGGGTGTAGGCTCTGAGGATTAGGATTCTGACTCTATGCGTCAGAGGGAACTCTACACCCTGAGGCGCTGATGCCAACCCTTTCAATCCCGTTCCGCAAGGCTACCGGAGCAATCTTTCTGAAGAGCCTGATATAGAGGATCATAGGGTTCAGATTGGGGTTATATAGGGATAATGGAAAATAGAATGGAAACTACAATAGTATATTGGGTTGTATAGGGGATGATATGACAGTACCAACAGGTAGAAGGATCACTGTCATCGTTGTTGAAGCCCCATATGCACTATAGTCTAAGCTCCTTAAAGGGGATTATATAGGGGAATATTATAATAGGGGGTGTTAAGGGGGATACTAGGAGTTTACTATGGCTCATATCATATTGTAATCACAGTTCAAAGGCCATCGCAGGGATCAGCTTGGTCCTTATCTTGTATAAGCTTTCTATAGAACCATAACTCTTCGCATGACTCGTTGTAAGCCTTCTGGAGACCTTCTCTGAACTGCTATGAACCCTCTATGGATGGTTAAATTCCCTTTCTCAACCATCCATGGACCCAATGTAAACCATAAGACCCAGACCATAGGCCACAGGACCAGGGCAGTTGGGGTAAGAGACTATAAACGCTCTACAAACGTTCTAAACCTTCTATCGAACTTCATTTAGACCACGCGATTTTGACCACGGGCCACAGGAGGGGTGGGGGCCGCGCCCGGATCATACATACCTTATCCAGTTTCTCCTTATAAGACTCGTTTTCCATTATATCCTAATAAAGCCCTTGGGGTTACCGTGATCTGGAAGCGGAAAGCTTCAGGACCATGGTCATGGCCCTATATTCGTCTGTATTGACTCTGCAACTAAGAATATCTGGAAGCTTGTCGCCGACACCCCAAACCCTCCAACCCCAAAACCAACAAGTCCTAAAATCTAAACCGCACAAAGCGTTAATTATAATGCATGAAAAACTGGCGACGCCCTAAAGCCCCTGAACCCTAACCCTTGAGTGCCTAACCCATCAGAAAATCCGTTTCCGCTCCTGCAGCGAAAGGACATCGAGGGTGCCATTGGCTTGGAGACCGTCGGAGCGCCGGCGGGCTCAGAATTGGAAGATCAATGTGTGCTCGAAATGAGTAGGATTCCAATGTATGTAGGGGATTTAGGGGGTATGTGAGGAGATTCTGGGAAGAGAATGTGGAAGAATGGAGAATTAAATGGCAACTGGTTTTTATAGGGCTAGTGGAGTGATTATATTGAATGTTCAAGATATGTAGGGAGATTATGGGATCATAGGTAGGTAAAGGGCTTACTGCCCAAACCTAAAAGATGCCTTCAACACATTCCACTTACTGCCTCAAGGCACCAGATCTAGCCCGCTGACATTGTACTGCCCAGAACGCCCGAGACCATGCGGGACAGCTTCCCTAATGAGCCCATTGTAAACTCCTTACAGGGGGTATATATACGGTATTATACAGGGGACGATTATAGGGGTTATTCAGGGGGATACGAGGAGTTTAGACTATAGCCATATTGAGCCATAAGCCCTGAACCGTGTCCCAGAAAACCAGGTTCGCAGTCATTGTCAGATTGGAAGACATGACTCATGCCAGGTCGGTTAAACGCTTCGGTTGAGGACTATTGGGTTTGTTGAGTGTTTTTTTATAGGGTTCCTGGGTTCCCAAAAATATTGGTGCATGTATATCTATATATAAACTTTTCAGATTTTTGCACAGCAGAAGCCGAGGTTTCTGGAGTCCCTGGACATTTCAACGGATGACATCCGTATGCTGTTTACCCTCATCGACGCCGACAAAAGCGGCTGAGCCTAAACTTGGTCTTTGCGGCGGCGGGCTTTTCGGTAAGTGATCAAATTTTGGAGTCTGGGGTTTGGGGTTGAGGGTGTTGGGCGGGAGTAGGTGTGCCATGGTCGGAAAACAGCGTTTACTGGACTATGCGGTTAGCATAGCCAAATGTGCCCTGATGTGCTCAGTTACAGGCTGAAAAATTGTGTTACTGAAAACGTCTGGGATATGCTGAGAACGGCAAGATCCACCCATTGACATGGACAACAGTACAATTCCTTGCGTTCCTTGACTCCGCCATCCAGTTGCACACGTTCATTTGTCTTTCAAAGAAGCACATGAAAGTTTCTGCAATACTCGATCCGCAGACGTTGCGATTTGGTATCGCAGGTGACCACAGAGTCAGAGGGAGGTTCAGTAAACCGAGCTCCAAACAAGGCGTCATAGAGTCTGTGTTTATACATCTATACACACGTACCCGCAGAGAATTCCAACGCTGTATTTTCGAGGGCCAGCAGTCATTCCTTAGTATGTTCACGGCACCCTCGAAACTGCCCCCTGCATTTAATCTTTCGGGATTTGGGTGTTCGAGGAACTTCAGAATCTCAAGGATCTGCAATCATCCTCACCAGGCTGTGATTCTTTACGGAGGCCTATATACTTGACAACCTCTTGAGCGTGTTGAGTGAAGGGGTCCACCAAATCGGACGGTCCTCGGGTTTGAGGCTTAGGGTTTTAGTTTTTAGGGTTCAGGGCTCAGGGTTCAGGATCCACACTCTATTGCTTCGGCTTTGGGGTTTAGGGCTTGCGGTTTAGGGTTTGGGGTAATTACAAGGTATATGGTTCGGGATTTAGGGGTTCATTGGTTTGGTGTCTAGGGTTTGTTCATAGCAGCCCTGTGACGTGAGGCGGGACTATCGATCTCGAGGAGTTGCCGGGCATGCACATTTATGCAGGTGTAATAACTACGAGGCTTAACAGGGACTTTTTAATCTGGTGCCCGTTTGTATCCAAGTACTGCTAGAGCATGTGCTCTTGCCAAAGTATGCAATGTAATGTTGCAGCCTAGCGTAGGGCCCCCTCCCCCCCTCCAAACGAAATGGCGGAGCCCGTATAATAAGAATGCCTGAAAACGAATGGGGGGTCTGGGGATCCTATGGCTCCTATCAAAATCAATAAGGGAAAGGGATCTTTCGGCTTCTATATTCATAAGGACTTGCCCAGTTTAGCTTTCCAGAGGATAGGAATGGCAGGGTCCGCAGCCGTTACTGTATGTTACAAGGCCTGGCCTGGCCTTGAAAATCTATTAAAAGCAATTACAATCTAATCAAAACCATCAAAAGTTTCTTTTAAATCCAATAAAAACAATGAGAAATCGAATTCAAAACAGTTAGACACAAATTTGAATGGCTTCTTCAAGTAACTCGGCCAAAAGACCTGTACATTGTTGAGCCCCCCAAATCATGAATACTATTGAGGATCAGGGGCTATGCTGGACTAGCCCTTTTGGAATTTGATTGCATAGCCTGTTCGAATAAGCGGTTCAATAAGAAATGAATTGATTTTGGTGGCGCCGAATTCCAGATTCGAGAGGTAATATTGTTCATTCACTGTCGAGCCTGTCTTTTTCATGCAAAGGCCTGGGCTTTAAACACAAAAGCATGTTGGCCTCTTCCCTAATTTTTTTCCGGCAGAAAAAGTTTTACTTTTTTTGGGACCCCCAAATCGAATAGGGGGTCCAGAATAATTTTCGAACAATGCTCTATTGGGGACCCCCGCACAAATCGGGATTTGACATTAGGCACCCTTTTACGACCTCAGGACCGCACCCAATCCCGCAACAATCTTGCACCCTAAATAAGGGGGGGGGGCTATCAAAATCACAGTCCATTTTGGTTTACCTTGAAAACTAGGGGCCATTTTGTTATGGGAACGAAAATTTGACAGGCTTCTAGGTAGGTAGAGGGATCCTTGGAAAGGTTTGTGTCCGGCTGTATGCAACTACATGGCCCTGCCAAGCGCCTGGCCTTGCATCAAAGCTTGGGCTTCACTATAACCCCTATAATCCCCTATATAATCCTAGCTTCCATTTCATTTTCCATTTCCTTTTCCATTTGATTCTCCATTATCTGCGGCTTGCGGAGTCAGGGTTGCGGTTTTGAGGTTTAAGGGTTGGGGTTGCTGTATTTGGGGTTGCGGGCGTGTTGTTTAAAGTTTCGATGTCTTGGCTTCCACTTGGTTTTCACTACAAGAGGTCCCATGTCATAGCCCATATATGAGCTACTGTCCATGCTAGGCTTACCAAGGGACCATTAACAACGGACATAGGGGTCCTCCTATTAGCTTAATGTAGTCTGGTTCCTATTCTCGTCCATAACAAGGAACAGATGTCCATGAACTATGTGGGGAATATTGACTGGAGCTCCTGTAGTGGCCATGACAAGCAACACTAGTACTTCGTAATAGACCCACCTCGGGTTTAGGCCGCTCCGTGTGCGAAAGAGTCCAGTCAACGAAGCCGCTCAAGTTTAAGGTTTGGGCTTTAGGGTTTCAGGGGTTCAGGGTTTAGGGTGAGCCGTCAACGGGGTCTGGTGGACAGCTGTTGATACCATACCACAGAAGTCAAATGCAGCTTTGGAAAGCCCCTAAACATCCCCTACGAAGCCTTAAAGGGGGCCCTAATTGTTGGAACCCCCCCGAATCCTGATAAAACACCCTGGTCCGAGCATCCTCGGATTTGCAACTAGGCTTGGGGATAGTTAATCGTCCCCTACGTACATCTACCTGTAGTATTGCTATAGCAAGAACTTTGACCCGCGGATTTGCCGAAGACCCTAAAATCCTGAACCTCAGAATGCTACACTGTAAAATCTTAACCCTAAACACCTAAAACACTTAAACCCGGAACCCAAAACTGTCTTCCCTCAAACCCTGCACCCTAAAAACCCTGAAGACAAAAAACCCGAACCTGCAGCCCTAAACTCCTAAGCCTTAAATCCTAAACCTTGAGCGTTAACCCTAGACTCTCCAACCCCGAACGATAAGCCCTTAACCCCCAGACCCTAAATTCCTCACACCTGAACCCTATACTCCTAACTACCTGAAGCCCAAAAGTATGTAAAAAACATTGCCTTCTAGGCCATTTTTCATGATTTTCGGCTACTATTTTTTTTGGGGTTGAGGTACAATATACACCAAAATCCTGGACCTGAAAGCTCCAAACCATAACGCCCTGAAGAAAAGCAAGCTGCCACATGCCCGAAACCCGAAACCCTGAACCTGAGTTATAAGTGCCAAAGACCCCACACCCTACACCCCAAACCCTATAGTCCCCCTTAAGTAGAATGAATATGGCTCTGGGTAGAATATAATCAGATCCCCTCTGCTTAAGGGGGACTATACCCTAAACCCTAAACCCCAAATAGTAGCTTCCATTTTCTTTTCCATCATCCCAATATATCAACCCTAAACCCCAAACCCTAACCCCAAACCTACAGGAGCCTCCAGCTTGCAAAGATGAGCTACGCACCCGGGCTGATGGAAGGGGGGTCCATGTCATGTGTAGCAGGCCCGGACCCGTGCCACCCTGATTAGGGTATAGGGTTTAGGGTTTAGGGGTTTAGGGATCCCCAAATCCCAATAATCCCCAAAAGTATGTAAAATCATGGCCTTTAAGGCCATTATTATTATGAGCCTGGGGCTATCTTTTTACGTATTTTTGGTGGTTTAGGTAATACCCAAGTTTCCATAAGTTTGTAATGGGGTCATTTGGCGGGGTTCGGTTTTGGGATTCTGCAGGGGCCGTACCTCGAGACAGAATTTTGTTGCCAGAAAAGACCTGATGCATTGGGACATGTTAGGCCATGTGAGGTGTCAGCGGGGTGTTCAATTTAAGGGGGAAAGGGCCTAGTGCGCCGAAAAGGCAACATAATTAACAAGTTACGAAGCCCGGAGCGGCACTAAAGTACATGCTTGCGAGCTTGGTGCTTGCTAATGGAACCTAGCGGCCAGACGCCCCGAGGAGAATAAGCTCACCCGAGAAGCCATCAGCACGGTGAACACTAACCTCCAGACTCCTGGCGGCAGGATGGCTTCAGGGTTTTGGGGTTTTGGGTTCAGGGGTTCGCGGACACTTGGAATTTGTGTATCTTTGGAGTTCTGGAACAGAGGAAGTACCCAGGAAGCCCAGCAGATTTCACACCCAAAGCCTGTAGAGCTTGAACCAACTAAGACCTAACCCCATCCCCGAAATCCTGGGGTGCAGACAGTCTACTTTCGTCTGTTTCTTTCCCGGTCCTGAATCCCTAAGCCTTCGATAATGAATCAACCTTTTCACTGTGATAGGTGTTACCTATCTTGAGCTTTTTGACTCACGGCAAATGGATAAGTGGAGCTCCCTATAGCCGAGGATAACCCCAATAACTATAGTAGTTTCCATTGCATTTCCATTATCCTAATATACCACTGTTATAGCTTTGGGGGCAGTACCCAGCCTAAACCCATCAAACCTTTGCCTTGGGCTAAGAACACGAAAGCCCTTCACAGTTCTGCAAGAGCGCCGCATTCTTGTAGATGACGGCAGAAACAATCAGCCAGTTACGATAAGACTGAAACCCAAAGCCTCCTAAGACCACCAAATTTGCCAAAGTTTTCTTCAGGCTCCAGTTGCCAAACCCTACACCCTGCGCCCTGAACTCGGAAACGCTGCATCTCCGCGAACCCTTCACCCTTAGCACTAACTACAAACCCTAAACCCTAGATCCTAAGCCCCAAAACGCTCAACCAAAGACCCAGCCAAGGGCGCTGCTGGCCAAGACGGCTCCGGCAAAAGCCCCTGCGAGAGTCTACGAGTCAGCCTTCTGACCTCCTGGGGGGGCCTTGTCTGGGAGTTTTGTGGTTAAGGGTTTAGGGTTTGAGGCTTTAGTATGCTTCGGCTTGCGCTGATGAAGTCTGAGGGTGAGGGTACGTCTGAGCTTCTGGCGGCTTTGTACAGCAAAGCAGGCCCAGCAATCTTGAACACC